ATTCAAAATATACCTTCAAAAATACTGCAATATAAAAGACTGTTAGAAAGAGGTTGGAAAAAGAATATTAGGTCGTTTTGGTAGATATGATATAATGGATCAAGCAAAAATGAGTTGATGAAATTGATGAAATAGAGGAGGTTTAATTACATTATTTTAATTTTAAAATACGTAAATGAAAATAAGGTTAGAAGGATTTGCTGGAAACACGATCTGAACTAGAATACAAAATTGGGAGGTGAGAGGAGGTCATGGAAATAAGTAAAGGGAAAAGGCTATGTAAAGGCTTAATCTGTTTTCGTTTTATTTCAACTTAATGTATTTTTATATTTTTTGTTAAGTCTTCTTTTTTATTCTATCTTATTGTTCTTTTTTATTTGTTCATTTTTCGCTTTGTTAAGGCTAAAGTTTTCTTTGTATTTTGTATGGTTTTTCTTTTTCTTTTTTGTAACTTTAAATTTGGAATAAATATCATTAAAAAAAAAATAGAGATGGATTGTAGCATTGCGGTATAGAAGACGTTGATAGTCTTATCCTCCATAAATTTGTCCAGTCCTCTTTTAAACTATCCAAGTTGGTGGCCATCACTACCTCTTGTTGGAGCGAGTGCCATAGCTCATCTATGAGCTGCACCGAATCTTCCAATATTCAGCCTCAGTGGGTGCCTCTGAGTTTTAGTGTTATGAGAGAAGGAGAAATTATGCACACACTAGTGGGGACATTATAAAGGAGTATAAATTATGCATAATTTTATACACTTTTATAGTAGGCTTGCCCTATTTCAAAAAGTAAAAACCAGAACGCCCTAAGAGTTGTAGAGCTTTTTTTAGGAAGACCCCCAAGGACTGATTTTTCAATAGACCTGCCTAACATCTAGGACAAAGCAATGGCCTTTGGAAATTCCCCCGGGCGTTGATTCTGCCTTTGAAATCCCAGTAATATTCAGGAAAATCTGAATGTATGGCAGCCTTGCTTTATAGTGTTTCCACTTACTTACCTTTTTATTGTTTTTATATATATATATTAAATATATTGTTTATATAATATATATATATATATTAAAGATTCTTGGTTTCCAAAAGTATGTGCAATGTCTCTTTTTCAAGCTGTGTTTTCTACAGATCAGTTGCATTTGTTGTGAGGCATTAGTGTTACATTAGGAAGTAAAGAGGGGAATGGTGAGTGGGGTGGGGCCAGGTGTTACTTGACTTTTTTCTAAACTACAAAGACTCAAACGTAATATTTTCTCATAGGGACCTTTGATCATGTTGTGTTTTCTTACATTGCTTCACATTTGCCATTTTGCTGTCCAGCTGGGAGAAATTGTTTTGCAGCTTCTCAAAATCCCTGCTTCTTTTAGCAACCTCCAGCAGCATAGAACACCGGTCCTAAAATATCTGCATTGGCTCCCAGTACGCTTCCAAGCACAATTCAGAGTGTTGGTGCTGACCTTTAAAGCCCTAAACGGCTTCCGCCCTGTATACCTGAAGGAGCGTCTCCACCCCTATCGTCCAGCCCGGTCACAGAGGTCCAGATCCAAGCGCCTTCTGGCAGTTCCCTCACTGTGGGAAGTGAGGTTTCAGGGAACAGGCAGAGGGCCTTCTCGGTAGTGGCGCCCACCCTATGGAACACCCTCCCAGCAGATGTCAAAAAGATAAATAGTTATGTGACTTTTAAAAGACATCTGTATGCAGCCCTGTTCAGGGAAGTTTTTAGGGTCTGATGCTATATTGTGTTAGTCTTCCCCCAGTCTAACACAGAGCATCTGGTTGTGAACTAGAAGTTTGGTGGTTCAAAGATTGTGGGAAGTATTCCTGCCTTGCAGGGGGTTGGACTAGATGAACCTTGGTGTCCCCTCCAACTCCAAAATTCTATGATTCTTTGATTCTATGGCTCCTCATCACCACCACCACCTTGGAAATTGAGCCATGTCTCTTCTGCAGGCTTTCGTCACAAACAGAGGTGTGTAATGCTTCAAGCCTTGAAGCAGAAGAAACAACCCAAATTACAGTTACTGAGGGCTGATTCATGAGCTGGGAGTCAACGAATTATACAACTCAAGCCCGTTGTGTGCAGCGCAATCATCCCGCTTCTCCTAATCACCCCCCCCCCCCGCTTCCAAGGCTGCGAGAGTTGATCTGCTCAAAGGACAAGGGCAGTTTCCCTGAAAGGGAAAAGCGAAACTAGAAGTAGACATTTCTCATGATGAAAGAAGGAAGATTCCAGGCAAGGAAACCCCCAGGAAACACCCATCCCACCACCATAAAAAAGCCAGGGGGGAGTTCAGTGAAAGGAGAAGAGGTGTGCCCGGTTCCAGCAAGAGAAGAGCCACAGCAACTTATTGCCTTTGGCAGAAGTTCTGTCCACAAGCAGTGAGACTCAGCAGCAACCCAGATCATCAGCCGCTGCTCCCAGTAAATTAACTCTGTAAGTACCATTTTCCTTCCTTCTGTCCCTCCTGTTGGCTTGAGAGAGACAAGCATAAGCTTCGGAGGCCAGACTTCTCAGAGCAGGGAAGGGACTGCTTGGATGAGTGCAAGGATGCTGGCCAGCTAGTAATAATAATAATAATTTATTATTTATACCCCGCCCATCTGGCTGAGTTTCCCTGGGCGGCTAGGGATGGAAGCATCGAACAATTTCAGCTCTCTCAGCTTCTTGTTCTTCCAGTCTTAAATTTGATTCTTTCCATTTCTGCAGCAATCTGCAATCCCCCTAAAATGTGCCACCTGAGGCAGCTGCCTCACTCTGCCTAATGGAAGGACCACTGCTGCTTTTGTCTGCGGTCTGCTTGCTTGCTTTAGTGGTTGTGTCGTTCTTGCTGTTACAATATATTAGGTTTTCATTGTCATTGTACACACATACATACTCTGGGATCTGCTTGGATGTTTCCGACCTTTTTTAAAATAATAATAAAAAATTAGTTCCCCAGATCTTACAGAAAAGAGTCTGAAGAAGCCACAGGCAGGCTTTATTAAGAATTCTCCTAATTTTCCCTTACTCATGCCTCAGCTGATGACAGCCAGTTCATTGCTTGTCCCTGAGCTTGCCTTGCTCAGTAGGCAGGAGAATACAGAGTAGAGAGAATTCAAACAAGGGAGGTTGGGATCGAACGGAGTTATCCTGGAAACGGGCACAAGTGGCTGGCTGGCACTATAGAGCACACCGCACAGCGTTTTGTTGCAGTTTTCACTTGTGGGACTAGAGATTTTTCTGGAAGTTGATCTTCAAGCAATTAAGCAGTGGATCCAGACTTAGTTGGACTTAGAGCAGACCCATCAGATCAATGGGACAATCTCATTGTTTGCAATGGATCTGCACATCATACAGAGAAAACACATTCCCCCCCTTAAGAATCCTGGGAGCTGTGGTTTATCCCTCACAGATCTACAATTCCCAGGATTCTTGGGGGGGGGTTGCTTTACATATATGGGGCGTGCTCAGCCCAAATGTGAACCCAACCCTTACACTATGCTCTGATTCATCAGCTGTGCATGTTTGGGCTACAACAAAGAGGCAAAGTTTCCAGATGCTTGGAATGTGTTTCCAGATGTGGAACAACAAAGAGGCAAAGTTTCCAGATATGGCTTGGAACATAGAACCAAGTAAAGGGGAGGTGACCTTGGGCATAGTCCTGTTTGGTGCTGCCCCCTATAACTGACCAGGAACACTGACCACAGTGCTATCAAATCCATTAACTTGGGGTCCTTTCCAACTCTAAGTTTCTATGAACTATGTAAACAGTTGCAGGCAAAGTCCAGCTCTTGATTTCAAAAGAGGAAATTATTTTAAAAACAAGGGGGTTCTGGTAAAAAAGAGAGAGGAGGAAGCTGAAAAAAGAGCATTTCCAGAAACAGCTTGAAAGCAAAGTGGACAGTGAGTTTCATAATGCTTTTATGAACACCCTTTAGCAGTGCAGAAATAACAGTGGCCAGGCTATCCATTTGTGCATTGAACTTGGATGTCTGCAAAAGGGGTGCCTATGCCTGAGAAGGTACACCTGCACATGCCCTCTACACAGTTTTATATCTGTACTTTCTAGGGTCCTGATACCACGGAGCACCTGAAACCTTTGTCGATGTGCAGGACTGTTCTAAAAAGGAATAAAACATGACAGCGTTGATTCATAGAGGGTCGACGTGGACCTTAAAAAAGGAAATAGCTAGTGCCATCAATACAGGCCCTTAGTAGCCAGAATAGCAGTGAAATAGGCCATTTTAGGAAAGCTGAGCAGCTATTCTGCTTTAAAAAGCCATATTTTCTGAACATAGGACACAGAAGATGAACTGGGAAAACCAGAGATGGGGATGTGTTGTTCATGACATTGTTGAGATAACTTTGTAAAAGGTAAACAAACATAGTACAGTGGTACCTCGCAAGACGAATGCCTCGCAAGACGAAAAACTCGCTAGACGAAAGGGTTTTTCGTTTTTTGAGCTGCTTCGCAAGACGATTTTCCCTATGGGCTTGCTTCGCAAGATGGAAACGTCTTGCAAGTTTGTTTCCTTTTTCTTAAAACCGTTAATACAGTTGCGACTTGACTTCGAGGAGCAACTCATAGCACGCGGTGTGGTAGCCTTTTTTGAGGTTTTTGAAGACTTTGGTGATTTTTGAAGCTTTTCCAAAACTTTTCCGACACCGTGCTTCGCAAGACGAAAAAAACCGCAAGACGAAAAAACTTGCGGAACGAATTAATTTCGTCTTGCGAGGCACCACTGTATAGCTAGTCCACAGTAAAAGCCCAGTGCCCTCGTTTGCACATCACAAAAAGCTACTGTTTGTTATAAACCATGGCTTAATCATAAACGTGTCCCCCGTGTCCTGCCCCCCTGCTATGCAGTTCCTGCACAGCTCCTCTCCCACATATGCCATCCATCTGGCTTTGGTTGTTACTACGTTAGGTGTTTTAGTGTTTTTACATTGAAACCTCCTGGCAGGATTGAGATTTGGAGATATGCTTCAAGGTCCAGACTATGGGAAGTCCCGAAAAATTAATAATGATAATTTGGATGGTAATTTGGTCTTTTTTATTTTAGTTTTTTATTTTAATTGGATTATGATTTGATATGTTAATTGGATGCTTCTTATTGGAAAATTAATAAAAACAATTTAACAAAAAAGAAAAGAAAAAGAACCCTCCCCTGTGATTCTCAGAGGAAGAAGTGGCAAAGAAATGTAACTAACTAACTAACTAACTAACTAACCAAGTGATAAAACTATATTATGGTTTGTTTGTTTGTTTGTTTGTTTGTTTGTTTGTTTGTTTGTTTCAAACAAACCATGAGCACCAGATCAAAAACAAGCTGAGAACAAACCTTGGTTTATGTTTGACTTACAACTTGAGGGTTGTTTGTTTTTAAGCAAAGAATCCACTATCTGGGTTCAGCCAACTTGCCAAGAAGTACCGGGGGTTTTAGGTATGCGACAAGTGCCGCACGGATGTTGCTAGCCCAGAAATAGAAAGAAGACAAAGTCCCTAGCAGAGAGGAATGGCAAACTAAGCTGTTGGACCGGAAAGCTCAGGAACCAAGAAGACAAAAACTAAAAATAAAGAATGGGGGAAATGCATAATTTATTTAGGAGACCGCTGTAAGCAGATGAAGACATTAACAGGATTCTAATAATACTTGTAGGGACACGGGTGGTGCTGTGGGTTAAACCACAGAGCCTAGGACTTGCTGATCAAAAGGTTGTTGGTTCGAATCCCCGCAATGGGGTGAGCTCCCGTTGCTTGGTCCCTGCTCCTGCCAACCTAGCAGTTCAAAAGCACATCAAAGTGCAAGTAGATATATAGGTACAGCTCCGGCGAGAAGATAAATGGCGTTTCCATGCGCTGCTCTGGTTTGCCAGAAGCGGCTTAGTCATGTTGGCCACATGACCCAGAAGCTGTACGCCGGCTCCCTCGGCCAATAAAGCAATATGAGTGCTGCAACCCCAGAGTTGGCCACGACTGGACCTAATGGTCAGGGGTCCCTTTACCTTTACCTTTAATAACACTTGTAATATAGCAAATATCATGGACAGTATGGAAAGATGCAAAATATGGATTATGAAATAATATGCAGTCAAAAAAGTTGACAATAGGACCCATGGAGGGGATGGTGGGAAGTCTGTAGATTCAGAGAAATCTCTAAATATGGATATGTATCTTGTATTCTAATTCTACACTTGTAAAATCTAATAAAAATTATTTCAAATAAAAGAGAGAGAAGTACCTGGGTTTTTCTTTTCACTAGCAATATAGTGAGGGTAGAATCTGATAGTGCAGTACTTTAC